AAAAATGTTTTCAGAGGTTTTAAAGTAATACTTCACACCCCATATTATCATTTCTAACTATTCACCCCATGTTACATTAAATTCGGGAGGAAAACTTTGTTTTTGCCTCCATTGTGAACAGAGAATCCAAAAACAGAAAATTTTTGAGGAATTGAAATGAAAGGGGGACCACTTTCACAACAGCAAAACAACAGCCCTTTTATACTGCCTGTTCAAGGCAGGAATGTTGCGCCGTTATGCCACCTGGCCGTGCTGTATATAAGGTATGATCACGGAATGGGGGGACAGAGTGGTCTCGCCTTAATTTGCCACAGGAGGTAGTAACAGCGCTGAAACTGTGTCTGTGTAAAGGGGATAGGATCAGGGGTGGCACAGGCGTGACTTTTTGACAAGGTGTTATATATGGGACCCACTGTGATTTAAAGAGTAGCTGTTAGCAGTTAGTGGCTAACTCAAAGAAGAACAGGAGTTGTAAATGTCTGCAAATTGGGAAAACAATGAGATTCAGCTCTTTACCCTCTGAGCAGAGGACCAGATCAGCTGTCATATAACAGAGAAAGCAGAGGCTTGTAATTGACGTTATGCCATTGTTGCTATTTAGAAAGCGCTGCTGACACATGTTATATGTCACACCAGAGGACGAAGCTGAAGTTGTCGTGCCCGTCATGCCTCGTTTAATTCTGCAAAGCCATGAAGCAGTGTATAATCACACACTGCTGCTGAATGATGCTGCCATCAGCACTTTCAAGATACTTTACATACGTTGATTAAAAAAAATATATAAAAAAGAATTTCAGAAGTTCAGAGAGAAAGACACACTTTGTCAAAACACTAAGAACTACATCAAAAATAGACCAATACAGTGGAAATAGAACAGAATAGACATTGGATGTCAGATGATGATGATGTGGTAATTGATCAGACAGCACAGTTAGATCAAACAAGGTAAGTATCTCCAGGGAGACAGATGTCAATGGGTACACACGCGCACACACACAGCCCAAAGCTTCATCAGCGTCTTCCTCCCCGTCTGCTAAATAATTGGAGGTATTAAAACATTATTTAACACAGCGTGACGACTGTCTACCACTGAGCTCTTCCACTCCGATGACTCAGGAAGTTTCACTTAATGTGCCATTAGGTCTCCGGCATAGTAAACAAGGAATTGATGTAAACATGAACTCTCAATGTGTCTGTCGTTTCACATGCAGCACTTTAACACTGATAAATCATTCAACAACATCTGGTTACTAACACTATATTTCACAAATAAGGACAATTATTCGGTGGGGTATAGCTTGTGCTGTGAAATCTGCTGTGCTATTTAAAAGCACAAAGGGAGACTAACAGGACTGGTAATAACAGATGGTAAAAGGACAGAAAGGGTAAAGTCACTTTCAAAATTAGGCTGGCCAAACAGCGAGCTCTCCTGCCTGAGAAACATAATGTAACTGCAATGTTCCCAATTCAGATCCTTTGTTGCATGTCATCCCTTCTCTCTCCCTCTGTGCTCACTGTTCATGTCTGAGTCTCTGCTGTACCAAATCAGATGAAGTTAAAAATGCCCAAAAACTAGTCATAAAGAAAAGACGAAAAAGCATTCAGAGTACTAGTGTTTGAGCTGGACTGGTAAATTGGTTGATGTCTGATGTGTTTGCATGAAAGTAAATGTTTTTCGGAAGCCAGGAGTAGAACTTAAAGCTCATTTGGTTACGATATAAACAGTCTGTCGTGTGCAGCTTTTCTTGTGTTATTCCAATACAAACAGAGGTAACTGAAATAAGAACATTTTCTGATCTTTAAAAGATCATTACTCAGATAATCATGTTGGTAATGGAACTCATATTATGTAAAAATAACCACCTCCATCACAGGTTTCCTTTCCAGTATTTGTAACAAAGCTAAAACAGTCAAATGTTTTACCTAAATAAACACTGTGAATCTATCTGGGAGTCTAAAAGCTGCTTATGCGCTGCAGGAGCGACTGAAATACAAACTGTTCCCACTGCATCTGCTGCAGCCATATGACTGACAGGCAGTTCAGACTGTAACACTCGACTATTAGCCTTTATTGACTCCTTATTGCCTTGGCAACTAAAGATGAGAGGTACTGATGGCGGATTGTGGGGGGTATTGAAGACGGCCAGCTGTGCTTCTCTGCTAGAACATCTGTATCACAAGGTGATGAGAGAGGAACTCGTGGTGTTTGGGGTAATTAGTAAGATTTACAGGAGATGGTAAGAGGGTGGCCTGCCGTGTGGTGTGTGTGTGTGTGTGTGTGTGTGTGTGTGTGTGTGTGCGTGTTTGAGCCTGCGGCAGGTGGTATGTGAGGCATGCTGGCTATCTAATTTCTGTTTAACAGCTGGCACAGGTAAACATTACAAACAAACAAAAAGAAACTGTGAAATTTAAACAGCAACTATTTTTATTATCAGTTTCATCTCTTGATTTATTTTTTATTGATGTGTTAATTGTTTTGTTGTAAAAATGTCAGAAAATAGTAAAAACTTTATTGCAGTTTCCAGAAGTGCAAGATTCTATAATTCTATTGATTGACTGATTGATATTCATTTTGAACATTCAAAACAAACAAAACAAAATGATGATAACAATTGTTGATGATTAATTTTATGTTGATGAACTAATCATTATTCGACTAACTGCGTCAGCACCATCTCTGGCTAACTATAAAACTTAAAAGTTACAATTTTAACTTGAAACTTTTCACAGAAATAGACCTTGTTTTTGATGCTGCGTCAGTCAGGAACACTTTAGTCAAAGAAAACTTTATTTCCATTTGCAGTACTATATTTGGTGGTATGGCTCTGTCCTGGGGCCTCTCTGCCTTTCCTAGGCCTACTCAGAAAGCCTCTGCCACGCACCTACATCGAAAGCCTAAGGCAGAAAGAGCAAACTTCCCTGCCCTTCCACATGCCTGTGTTAAAGCCATACTGCAGAGAGAGCACACCTCTCTGCCCTTCCATGTGCAAACCAGGAAAGCCTAAGGCAGGGAGAGCAGCATCAAAAAGAGAAATGACATGGATAAGTCAGACACAGCATGAAAAGGAGGAGCTGGGGTGGAGGCAGGTTGCAAAGCGGCTTGCAGAGGAAGCAGCAACAGCAGGCAGACCAGAGCAGTTCAAATAGAACGCCCTGAATGAGACTCCCCAATTGCTTGCATAGAATGGAATCATGTGATCTATCAGCTGACTCCCTTCCATCAATCAGCTGCTCCATCAGTCGCTATGCTTAATTTGTGGTCAGTATTTTTTTTAGCAATAGCCACTCAGTGTTTTAACACTGAGTACGTCTCATTCACATACACACATTTACACATTGGTGCTACGATACAAGGTGCTACCTGCTACTCAGTAACCATTCACAGGCTCTCACACACAAATGAAACAGCAATCGGGTTCAGTATCTTGCCCACGGATACTTTGACTGGAGGGGCTGGGGATCGAACCGCAGCAGCTTCATTCCAAACATATTGGCATTACAAACAGCTCTCTACATTTCTTATCAGTAAATCCTGCATGAGACGTGTACTATAGAGATTTCTCTTCCTGTTTATCACTAGAATAGCTTCCTGGCAGACTGTGGGTGAATGTGTGAGTAGAGATAGTGATAGTGTGAAAGAGAGGTCCTGTCTGTTTGGAGGCTGTGGATTTATTCTAATCACATAAAATCATATTTGACTGGAGAGTCATTCATTACAGTCGCTCTGTTTCCACGCACTGCTCTAGTGACAGTTTGTGTCAACAACAACAAAGATGGTGGCAGGGCGCCTGCCGCTGGCCATTTTGGAAGTTATTTATTGTGGGCTAATCAATTATGATGATGATGATGATGATAATAATGATAGTTATGATGATGACTATTAGCTGTAGTAGTAGTAGTCGTAGTATTAAGTTAATATTTAATTTAATTTGCCCCATCACATTTTCAGTGAGAAGAGAAGAAAAGAAGCATCACCAAAGGTTTTTGTAGTGACATTAGGAACAGATAACAGAGCAGCTGTGAAGGATCTCAGGGTTCTTGGAGGGACATAAGGTGATATAGAATCTATTATATAGGAGGGGTGATGCCAGTAAGAGCCTTAAAAACCAACAGAAGGGTTTTAAATTCAATTCTAAAATATACTGGGAGCCAGTGTAGGTTACATGAAGCAGGGGTTTTGTTAAAACTCTGGCAGCAGCATTCTGAATGGTCTGTAGTTTTGAAATGGCAGTTTTAGGAAGACCAGTGCATCGGGCATTACAACAGTCAAGACTGGAAACAAAAGCATGAACAAGCTTCTAAGCAACTTATTGGCTCAGTAGAGGTTGTAAAATGACACTGAGATTTCTTACTTAAAATATTATTATTAATGGGGCGTCGGTGGCTTAGTGGATAGAGCATGCACCCCATGTACAAGGCTGTTGCCGCAGCGGCCCGGGTTCGACTCCAGCCTGTGGCCCTTCGCTGCATGTCACTCCCTCTCTCTCTCTCCCCTTCACACTTGTCTGTTCTATCAAATAAAGGCTAAAAATGCCCCTAAAAATATCTTATATAAAATTATTATAAAATATCTTATTATTAATAATAATAACAACAGTGAAGTGAAGGGTTGCTCAGCAAGGAAGAAGGAGAGAGAGCTGAATGGCGTGAGCACAAAGAAAGCCAAAATGATCTGATAATCTTTTTTTTTCTTACTTAATGACCCTGACGCATAATTCATTTCAATATTTCGAGCAATTATGTATATCATATTGCCTATAATGATCTAATGGAGCCTACTGTAGTTGTGCTTCATCTTAAATTTAAATGGTTCATTATTATGATTATGAATGATGATCTTTTGCTGTTTCTGTGCCCCCTCCAGCACTGGATGCCATATGCACAGTGCGTGACGCGCGTGCACGTAGCAGTGCTGCTGGATGGCGGTGAGTCTGCAGAGTTTTATAATCAGCTCTTCAGACATGTCTTACATGTGCAACTGTGGATTTTCTTGTCCCTACCTGTATCCGGTTGTTCTCCAGTGTTTTCTCCAGCTCCACCTTGGCAGCAGCTGACTCTTGTTGGTGGGTTTGTCTCAGGTGTTCGATGGCTGATGCATGGATGTGGTTCAACTCTGATCGCAGAGAGGCTGGTGGGAAAAAAAGGACATTAGAGGCCATATTTAATTTGTACACAACAAATAAACTTGTCTGCATATTTCGGACTCAGTGATTTTCAGGCTTGTTGAAAAAGTTTCTCCAACCTTTGGTCTGCTCGCAAAAATTTGCTCATTAGATGCAAAGGCCTTTTTATTACAAAATAAATAAATAAAGTATTTTTTTACTTTGCAAATAAAGCAGAGTGCTTCGGCTGCCTGTGCCCAAGTGGCTTTTAATCCTCACTCCAATGAACAAGTTTCATTGCAAACAGTCTAATGGTTTCGTATAGAGAGGGAACACACACTGATATTAGCTCTCTACTTGAATGTAAAACAAATTTATAGTGTAAGAATAAAGAAATACAGCAGTGAAAGCTGGCCACTGCAGTTTTTGAAATTATGAAACTACAGAATAAAAAACATAATATTACATACACTCCCATCTGAGCACACACATGTATACACACACACATTCACACATACAAGGGGAGAAGATGAAGGAAAGTAAGAGAAGGAGCGAGATAAAGAGAAAAAATGTATTAAAAGGATGTCAGGATGTGGGAAGTGAGAGATAGATGGAGGCAGCTCTCCAGTGTCAGGACCATGACATGAAGGTTAATGGAAGACCATTTATCACCGCACAGTACTGGTTCCTGCTAAAAAGCTGATAAGATTTTTCTGCACTTTCCAGTTGTGTTGGTGTATCTCAGACTCTCTGCTCATGCTCTCATGTTTTAACTGTTGTCTGTGCATCACATTATTGTATATATATGTAAAAATACACACTGCATCTTTTAGTATTTTCTTTTATTTCTACACTAACTTCAGAAACAAAGCGGCAACAGTTTGTTTCAGAAGCCAGACAAATGATAGAATATCAATATATCTATTATTATAGAGAGGAAGGACTTGCGTGCACACAAAAAACTGTGCACCAATGCAACTATGGATTCATCACCCTCCTTAAATCATACCATCTCTACGGGGTCTAATCACCAAAGACTTTCCACAGTTTTTCATTCTTATGTGCACACGTTAATAAATATTATTTTTCTATACCAAAAGAGTCTCTCCTGACTGAAATACATATTATTCTGAGATGGGCCATTCTGCATCATGAGTACTTTATTGATGCTTTCTGTACTTTTGTTGTCAAATTTAAAATGAAAAATAAATTGTATTTCTACACTGTGGTATTATTCTTTTTCCTAAAGTAAATGATCTGAGTACTTCTATCCTGCAAGGTGACAAAAAACCAGAAGAACTGAGAGAAAAAATAAGATGGCAAGAAGAACTAGACTTAAAACTAAGCATCTCAGGTCTGGCGAGAATATGCACGTAAATTCCAGATGAGATATTTTGTAACACCTTTTCAACAAGCCAAACTCCAACACTTAGTAGCCCTTTTTAAACAGGAATTGTGCAAATTTGCAAGAAAGCCCAATCAGTCTTTTTTCAGCATTGGCAGTATAAAAACAAAATCGGGGAGTGCAGCAAAATGCCACCTACCTACTTTTGTTTATACAGAATGCACCTTTTTCGGGGCAATGGGGGGGGCGTGAGCAAGTAACAAAACGTGTAGCTCAGCGTGTGACGTAAACAGTGACGTGGGAGGGAAGCCGCAGCTGGTCAGTCCTTCGGCAATACTCTTGCCTGTTCTTCACCGTCCCCGTCATCTGACGGTTAATGGCCTCTTCGTTTGTGAGGTCAAGGATGGCGCTCAATTCCTTGTCTCCCTTGTTGCTCATCTTTACAGTGTCTGTCAGGTTTGTGTTTCCCTCTTGCTACTAGCTGCTCGCTAATTCCTGCTATCAGCTGTTTCCTGTTTATCCACCGCCAGTGGCTTGCGACATCATCAACAGCTCCTCCCACAAGTCTTCAACAGCCCCTCCCGTGGCGGAAGGGCACCTCGTTCTTTTTAAACTAAAAGGGTTCTGCCAATATGTTTACCCTACGAGGCGGAAAATTGGGCACCTCAGATCAACTCGACAATCCGGGTCTGTGTCTCTAAATGCTCGCAGCTTGCCGGCAAAACGGCCCAACATTCACGGGAAATCTGGCAGTGTAAAAGGGGCAATTGACACCAAATTGTTGGAGAATGCAGAGAAAACCATGCTGATTATAGTCACATCTTTTGGTCTTGTCCGCTTTTAAAAACTTACTGGGCATATAGTTGTATAGAAATTAAATATGTTTCAAAAAATTACCTAGAAATTAGTCAAAAGTTCATTCTGTTAGGAAAAATGCAAAAGGAGATGGTTGGATTTGAAGATAAAATCCTTATTGGAATACTGAGGATAACTGCTGTTAAACTTTTAACAAAAAAACTGGCTCCAGAAACTAAACCCGAGTGTAGAGAAATGGAGGAGCCTGGTGGAACAAGCATATAAAATCAGAGGAAATCTTAGAATGAGACGCACATTGTGGGCAAAATGGGAGAGCTACATAGAACATAAGATTCAAACCATGATGCACCTCAGCTAAATGCAAAGCATAGTAACAGTAGACACTTAAACAGCCAATAGATTGTTATTGGATTAATAGATATTGACAAGAGTCAACAACCAAATGGGGGAGCACTTTTGTTTGCTGTGAACTTAGAAGTATACATGAATTGAATTGTATGGACTTTGAGGTGCAGTGGTTTAGATAATATATAAATGTTTGTATTTAGTCATATTGTATTATTTCTGATATAACATGTGCTACCTTGTTGAGGGTTTGTGTTGGTTTTCCTTTATTTGCGCTTTCTTCATTAATTTTGCTTAGTGCGCTGTTCGTTATTTACCTCAGTTACATGTCACAATGGTATCTCACATCTTGGAAAAAATGAAAAAGATCTGAGTACTTCTTCCACCTCTGCTTTTAGCCCGTTACGTGATCATGTCGGGGTAGTATGCTGCCACAAATGTTTTAGTTTTTTGAATTCCAACTGCACTGGGGCAAAATAAAGTATGTTGTAAATCTAAAAGTGTCAGTGTTATATCCCTATTTACAAAATTAAAGGACAGAGGTTCAATGTTTCAGTATTTTCTTTCAGTACGACCTCAGATTTCACTGTAACATCAGGCCACACTGTGACCAAAAAAAATCCCCAGTCTGTGCATTCTTAAGTAACTTTGTTGGAAAATAAAATGTGCCAAAGGTCAGGGATGGGTGAATCTTTTAAATGCAAGCAACACACGCACACACACACACACACACACACACACACACACACACACACACACACACACACACACACACACACACACACACACACACACACACACACACNAACACACACACCCACACACACACACACACACAAAGACCCTACCCAGCATGGCTTTGCCCTCGTCTTCCAGTTCAAAGCGGAGTGTTTGCAGCTCTTGTTCTGACTGCTGTTTGAGCGTCTCGATGCTCTGGCGATGAGCCTCTCTGAGAGACTGCAGCTCTGCATGGTGATGATGGCGGAGACGCTCCTCCAACTCCTGATGGAGAGATGAGAGCGGGAGGAAGAAGGGGTTGTGTCAGGGGAGGTGAGGGAACAGGGGAGGGTGAGAGAGGATAGCAGAAAGGAACAAAGAGGGGTGCAGCAAAATAGGGAGAAAGAGGAGAACAGAGAGTGGGAGGGCCAAAGGGAAGAGAGGGTGAGGGGTGGGAGGAAATTAGGGTAGATAAAAGGAGGGAAGGGAGGGAGAGAGAGATGAGAATTTGTGGATTAAAAGTTTACGACACAGGAGGACATGACAGAAGTAAGAGAGATATAAAAATGAAAATGGAAAAGTGAGGCAAGGAGAGATAGAGAGGTATTTAAGCATCATTTTAAATCCTCCATATGGACTAAAGGACAAACTGACCAATCATCATGCACTGACTTGAACTGCACAGAAACATCAGCCGAAAACAGAAGAAAAATCGGACTTTCTACGGCACAGTTTGAGAAAGGTAGAGATAAGATCACTCCCTATGTCAAATGTATTGAAAGGCAGACTCTTCTCTCATAAAGACGTTTCCATAAAAGGTTTGCTGACAGTTACAATGGATCCCTGAGCAGAACGACCTCGACTGTGACGAAAATCAATTGAAAGTCATTCTGCTGTAGAGTTTTTAAGAATATAAAAAGGTAAAGTCACCTCACTGTCAAACTGCATTGAAATACCGACTATTGTCTCTTTTTCGACAGTTCGGTTTTTGAGAAAAATAGAGGGAAGGTCGCCTCTCATGTTGTGTCTCCGAAAAAAATAAAAAAGCCTAAAAAGGTTTGAGGACAATTCCAGAGGATGTCTGTTCAGAACAGCCTTGAAACTTTACTTTTATAATACTGACATTTAGTTCAATATAATTCCCTCAGCTACACTGAGCAGTAAAAAAATAAGACATTTCTGGTGAAACTGTCACCTTATTTTCTAAAATATAATTGAACAGACAGAGACAGTGGCTAAAAATCATGACACATTTAACCTTTAGAGACAAAGTGGGTTTTATGATAATTTTTTAATATACTGACGATTAAACACATTTACTTTGGGATTGGGTTACAAGTTCGTTAAGGTACAGAGTGAGAAAACAAATGACTGAATTCCCAACAGGTTCTTTGGGAATTTTGTGACCAAAGTTGTTCTCGCAGTAGAACTAAAAGGGACTTTATTGTTGAAACAAACATAATAATTATGTGTATTATGGACAGGTGTCAATCACCAATATGTACTAAAAGTTTCCTTAAAGACAGAGGAGTCTAGACAGAAGCTTTTACTCTACAAATGTCCATTAAAGAGGACTTATTATGCTGTTTCTTTCAGGTTCATACTTGTATTTTGGGTTTTGATTAGGAAATGCTTTAATGATGAAAAACCCTCTGTCTCTCTTTAAGCTCCCCTGCCAGAGAAGCCCAGTCTGAATAACTGCAATCGAGCATAGCAACACATTCCAGCAGTAATATGATCCAAAATTGTGGAAAAATTAACAACACCAGCAACCAAGATTAAATGTTTCTCTGATATTAGCATGTAGCTACATGTAGCAGTGTACTTGCAGCAGGGGAATGACTGTAACCGAGTACAGCAGCACTTTCTTCAGTGAAGAATCACCAATAAAAGCTTTGAAACACAACCTCACATGTTTCTCCAGGAATATTGTCCAAAATCAGCAGAAATGAAAAACAAGATTCTATGTTTCCCTGATGTTAGCATGTAGCTACATGTAGCAGTGTATTTGCAGCAGGGGGATGACTGTAACAGAGTACAGCAGCACTTTCTTCAGTGAAGAATCACCAATAAAAGCTTTGAAACACAACCTCACATGTTTCACCAGGAATATTGTCCAAAATCAGCAGAAATTAAAAACCAAAATTATATGTTTCCCTGGCGTTAGCATGTAGCTACATGTAGCAGTGTAGGCTACATAATGTAAACACTTGCAGTAGTGCGCCTGGAGCAGATGACCATATATAGAGATCCATCATGAGCTGACAGCTTGTAGACATTCAGAACGGTCTGAAGTCTGAGGTTTTTATTCACAGGGATTACTTTTACTCATGTTTACCTCATTATTTGAAACTTTGGCCACATTTATCATATACATTTGACATTGTAACATTACATATATGACAGAAAATAAGTTAAAGCATATAGGTCCCATTTAATAATTCTACTTGTGAAGGAATTTAGAGTGTGAACTAATTCTTCAGTAAAACAAAAACAAGTGTTTTCACCATTTTGTTAATCGCTTTTTTTTTTTTTTTTTGTTAGGGGATTAATTAATGAAATTGTGTTAAGTTAGTTTCCAGCTGTTGTTTACCACAGCGTTGGCTTCATTACAAGAATTTAACAAACAACTTAACCAAAACAACATATTAAAATATTAGCAAAGAAAACTAACAAGTACTTATATACACAGCATTAGCATCAGGCATTAGCTCTGTTGACTGGAGGGCTGCCACAAACCATGCACACACACACACACACACACACACACACACACACACACACACACACACACACACACACACACAGAGCACAGACCTACTAACATTACACTGCTGGCAGTCGAAAGTTTATTTTGGCAGGAAGAGCTGCTGTTGATGTGTGAGGAGCCACAGAAACAGTTATTAGTGTTTGTGTTTATAGGAAATATGGTTTAACTTTTGGGAAACACATTCACAACTCCTGCTTCTGTTTAACTCGACCAACAACTCAACAGACGTTTGTTGTGTCAAGTGTCTTATCACAGTGAGCTCATCAATCAACAGAAGTTGGTTGTCATCTGGTTTGTGGGCAGAGAATGTGAGATCAACATTACACTTGACCATAAAAGTGAACATTTTAGGGTGAATTTGTGTTACTGGTACATGCCTTGTCTATTTTTTTGATGAAGCCTTGGTGCACAATAAACCAGATTAAACAAAAAAAATAAATAATTTAACTACACAGACTACTTCTAGTAGAAGCACAAATATCAAGGAAAAATGACCAAATCAGCAAAATCTGCAAGTCTATAAATTCAGGCAGGCAAAATGCTATGACGCTCAGCAAAGCACAGAACAAAATTGGGTCGCAGCCGGATGGTGAGCTGCGCCTGGTGGAACTGTCCCTTCCAGCTCCCTTACAGTCAAGATGGTAGATAAAAACAAGATAACAAAAAAAAAAAAAAAAAAAATAGGTGGTTTATTCATCTCGTATTGGGCCTAATTTTAGTGGATCATACATGGGTATGAAATTAATCTGCAGATGCTGTGGTTCAAATTGAGATGAACTTTTCTATGGATGTCAGTTTTTGAGCCACAACAGGCCAAAATGTGGCCTAGAACAAACTGGGTAGGACTTGTCTTTTTTAGTCGAGCCGATTTTGGAATACTTGTGGTCACTACGGGCAAGGGTGCTGTGGAGTCAGCAGTCAATGACAATATAAAACAGTTAATAAAACAGGTTCTTCAACAATGTGAATCTCAGTAACCACAAGCTGTCATTGAGCGTACAGTCATAAATGAGTGCACAAGATATTAGGCTGATTGGTCCAGTAGTTTGCAAAATTAGCTGCAGACAGAGAGATGCACATACTCACACACAACCAAACACATGATCCTCTCCAGACTTACAGGGGACAGAGATACTTACTAATATATAATCTAATTATATAATAATCTATATATCTATATAATAATCTAATTATATAACATGTTGAATATCAAGAAGAAAACACAGTTGCTATTCATGTCAGCAGTATCAGAATATTTGAGTTGAGATTTCATTTTCATTATTACACAAAGCCCTAAAAGAACACCACTGCAGACACAAAGCTGCTGTTCACACTGAGTGGAACCCATTTTGCTTTGTCAGTGAAAATAATAAGATGCCATTTTGCAAATTATAACTAGAACCCATCAACAAGGAACATCTAAAATGATATTCATAGAAGGTTGACGGCAACATCTGTGGCATTTTAATCTGCCAATATGCAATGCCTTTGGGAAGTGATTCATGGAACGAAGAGAGCAATGAATATTCAAATGAACCTCGCTCTGAGTTGGCGGACAGCAGTCTCTGTTTCTTTTAGTGTTTGAAGGGCCAACTATTCTGTTTTTATGGTAACACTTCAAACAAAAGTGGTAAAGTTCATTAAAGCAAGATCTCTGTGTTTGGATGGATAATAATGTTGCTCACACTATATTTAGTTGTGTATCTGCTAAAACTGATATATATGCTAAAAGTATAACGGCAAGCCTCTCCCCTTTCCCTATTGTCAGTGTGCCAGTCACTAACTCTTCCTGTCCTGCTGTAGTCCCCAGTGTCTCCTCCCACTCAGCTACTCCTCACTCCCACATCCACCTGTACACCTGCTCCCAAATCCCATGTAATCAGCTCCTCAGTACAGTTAATACACTCCTATCCCTCAGTCTCATCTCCTCGCCCAATCATCTATTTTTACTCTGCTTTAATGGTCCATCCTTCTTGTTAAGAACCATCAGTAGAGTATATTTTTGCTGTTGCCTAACCTGCCTGCCTGTCTTTCTCTGACTTCATAGGCACTTGTTTCTTGTTGAGGTATACATTTTGGCAGTTTGCAGCATATTTTGGTTCTCACGGCAGCATTTACAAGCGGACCAGATCAAATGCCTCGCTTGAGAAAGCTGCTCTTGATTGGTCAGAATTTCCATGCGGGAAAAATCCAGGAAGTAAACAAAAAATTGAGGAGGAGTACACTTGCAGGATAAATGTGACACTTTCTAATCACAATGGAGGGACAACTATGCAGGTTGATTTTAGTGCTGGTCATCGTGTACTGTATTGCTTGCATTGTTCATTTTAGGCAAACTATACAGTTTGAAAATGAGGCACGGCTCCAACTAGAGAACAATTTTTTGATACATTGGAAGTCAGCAGAAGGAAAGTTTGCAGACTGGAGAGTTGATTTTCTCATCCTGATGAGTAACTTGCAGCCAAACACCACCACCGTCCAAAGCCAACCACAAGAAGCACTATCAAGACTTGCA